AATGGTTGATTCATCTCACTGGTAGATTCAAGCCAAGTCATTTTGTCCAACAAGTTTATTCATCCCAAAGTCAGTTCATCCAACTTAACAGTACGCACGAAATTGTCCAATACTAACTCGTCCAAACTTGCCAGTTACAAACGTGCAACAAGATCCAAACAACAAACTGTATCCAATCGTGGTCACGCACTCATTGTGTATACGTATACTCATCCTGCAATGGATTACATGTATGTGTGCTGTGTGCAAACAACATCATACCAAACAAATCATGTTTCAGTTCAGATAATAAAGGTACACGATGTACAACTTTACTGATATTACACTGGAATGAAAATACTGATCACTATAAACAAGTATTTGGAACCATGGTTTGGTAAAGTCCTAATACATTGCCTAGGAATGTCCCCAGTGAACTTGATCTGCCAACCAGGCTTATACATTTCTGGCCATTCATTAATTAACTCCAATGCAAAGCCTTGAGTTAATTACATTCACATTGAAAACAACAAATTTCATCAACAAAAAAAAAAAAAAAAAAAAAAACCATTTAAGCTTGCATTTGGCTGAGTTAATAATTTTTTCTTTAAAAGCTATCCATATCACTTATTTCTTTTTCTTCAAATTGTTTTTTTTTCACTATTCTTGTACATTATTCCAGCCAGTGGCAAAACAATGTGTTCAAATATTCACATTGAATACAATATATGAGCCGAATCGACTTGTGGGACGAATGTATTGGCACAAATGTAAATTGACTATGAATCAAAAGATAGATTCCATCAAATTTGTTTAAAATGCTTAAATTACAGTGAGTTGTTTGCAGAAATAAATTTAAAAGAATTAATGCAAGTACAAGTAGTACCATTATTGGCATAGAAAGTAAAATAGCGAGAGTGATCGAGCCAGTATTCATCCACTTAGGCTTGTGATTGGTGTAGTTGTTTTCAATTCAATTTGAAATTTATAAACATTTATAAATATTTTATATAAAGCATGAAACCTGATGTATTTGATTGCTTTTGTTTTGTTTCCAAGTTTTGTCTTATCTTAGTGTTTTTGTTAAACCATAAGAATGTATTTTCTTAGTGTTATACATTATTATTAGAAGTTCAACTGTAATAAAAGCACACATAAAAAAATAGGCATTATGAAGGTTTTAATCTGACTTAGTGTTTTGTACCATTTTTTGAAGCTTAGCCAAAGATTATCGAACATACACTTACTTCGAGCAGTTTCGGAAATCACATCACCAACTTCTTCGAAATCATTAATTCTAACCAGCCAGAAAAAAAATTCATGACTATTGACAGGCTCTTTACATAAAGCTTTTCACTAACATAGGCAGAACTTTATTAATGATAATAATGTTTATTGACTCATTGTGTCTCCCGAAGAAGATATAAATGATTATACATAACAAAACAAATAAGAAAAAAAGAAACACACACAGCCCCAAACACATTCAAAATACAGTTACTGTCTGGTATGGGAAGTGACATATGTTTGTTGCTCATAATGGTGTAATTAGAAATACATCATTAATGGGTGTTTTGATTTCCATTGGACACGTTCATAAACAACTAATAAACAACTAATTAAATATTATAATCGCATAATGACCACCAGTAACTCTTTATTGAAAGAAGCTGCAGAGAACAAACAAATGAATAGTAAATGCTTTAGGGAAATAGAAAGGCAGTTAAAAAACATAAATCGATTGTGATAGTACTTTCTATAGTACTCTAACAAATTCACAAATAACAAACACTATAAATAAATTTGAAAATTCCTTTGAGAAATACTGGAACAAAGAAATTCACAATGACATTAGAAACAGTAAACACAGTAATGAGAAAAAACAAACTAAGAAACATAGAAATTTTAAAAAAAATATTTGAAAATTGAAACATACTAGTATATGGAAAATAGTAAAAACTTTTGAATTACGAGAACAAATGAGTAAATTCAGATTGCGTAACCACAACCTGAAAATAGAGTCGGGCAGGCATACAAAATCCTAAAACACCATTTGACAGGAGGACTTGTGACTTGTGTAATACGGGCAAAATTGAAGACGAAGTTCATCTCATAATGGGTTGCCCAAAATATTCACAACTTAGGGAGTTACTTATTAAAGAGGTAACCAAAGTTATCAATGACTTTAAAATGTTAAGCAACTATAATAAATTCCCCTTGCTAATGAATAACGACGTGATTCACACTGCACTATTCATTCAAAGGAGCCTGAGAATAAGACATCAACACCTCCTCAATCAATGAGGTCAACTCATGAATTTTTCAAAATAGAATTGTTTTTTTTTCTTAATATTTTATGTGATTTCTATTTTAAGTGTATTTTGATTCATTTTAACTTCATTATCATTACTTTGTAGTTATTAGTTAGCCACACAATTGCACTAGATTTTTTTTAGATTTTTAATTGTGATGTCATTTTTTTCCTTTATAATTCCTATTTAGTTTTTTTTCAGTTAGTTTGTTAGTGAACTTGATAACACTTTTATATTGTTGTGCGTTTTTTGATTTACCGTAGTTGCACTCTTATTTTATTTTTGTCTGTGTTCTGTTGTTTTAGTGACCTTACCGCTGTACTTTCCTATTAAAGTCAGTGTCAATAAATATACTAGTACTATACTACCATAATGAAAATAAATTTATCACTCTCACTACTGGTTCCAAAATTATTAAAGGGCGGCAGTCGTCGTGTCGCGTCCTGTTCGATATGGGACTCATAGCGACGTATACAACGCGTGTAAAATACATTGTTCATTTACATGAAATTCGAACACGCGCTGCGCGATGACCACCGCGCTTTAATATGAATTTCTGTTAAATTCTGTCTAGCAGTTTGTATGTGCCCTGTATGCTGGGCAATTCATAACAAAGTGTTTATTTATCTTAAACTTTGTTTTGTGTACATTGGCCACGTGTTTTAGAATCAATCTGCAATCTGCAATTGTGATGTACCCCGGGGATGTACCGTATGTGTGATGAGGACGGACACGCTGTGTGGACGTTACCTGGCAAACTAGCTTCCTCACTATCCGCATATTTCTCCGTAAGTGGTCACAGCAATCGAACACCTCTTTTGCTTGCAGGTCGAACATGATATTCTTCCTGAAGCGTCGCCGTGGTTTCCGCAGATCCATCCTACCAATGTTACGACAAATAGAATCACTAGAATCCACTAGAATCACTTTGCTACATGGTCACCATAAGTTGCTGAGTCTTTGTTCTCTTGCAGGTTTCATATGTACCAGGGAATCCCTTTAACTCGGAAGTAGATTTGCATTATGGGTGTAGGGAAATCCTAAGTTCAAAGGTCGTGGCGTTTCAGTGGACACTCACACCGGCGTCTAGTCTACAGAAGAAGGATTCTCACTGACCAAATGTAAGTCCAAAGTACAATTATACACGCATAACTTTTCTAACTGATAACTTTTTATTTGCAGAATATGAAAAAGAATATTTGACGAAGTTTCTTTTTTTAATCTTTCTTAGAAACTATAAATTTGTTTTGCGAGTAAGGGAACATGTCATGACATTCCGATTGGAATTATATGAAGGCACGGGAGTAAAATAGACGCACAACAAGGCCGTCCGTTCTCTTAAATTTATTTAACATATTTTTGAATAACTTCCCAAACGCAATCGTGAAGTGTGGTACTAAGGGATCACTGTTACTATAAGAACCGTGTAAGTCCCATCGTGAATATATATCATAGAGGTAAAAATAGATTTGATGTAGCCTTAGATCCACAGTATTGTCAGAGTGGGCGTTACTTACATTTGGCGACCACTGAATATAAATACTTCTAAAACAGTGAAAGGCAGAAACTGGACATTAGTTTATATACATATTTATGACATTTTGTAAATGCTGATCATTAGCCATTATTTAAAATTTAAATATTTAATGATTGGCTAACTTGAAAGAGCTCCACATTGCCCCATTATGCATGCAAAACTTCAAGTGAGATAACAACTGTGACCGCTCACTTATTCAAAATGAAGGGCTTGTTGATTGGGATATGTGTTGAACTAGCTCATTAATATTTATTAGAACTCGCGATGATGTCGCTATATCATTTTTAGCTTGGTCAATTTGAAATATCAGTCATTTTGATTTCTAACAAAAATATATTTATACAAAATTTATAACTATGCAATGATTAATTCAATCATCATACTGCCCTTGTGCATATCTTGCGTTATTTGAGATTAACTTCTTATTATTTTATTTTTTCCAGGTTAATTGATTTGTAAAAGTATTAAGAACTATGTATTCTACAGTTGTACCAAGCCTCAGTCGTGTTTTCCGCAAAAGAATTTTTTCAATATTAAACAATGGAATGGAACACCATGCCAAAATATGTACAAAATCAAACCTGTTTTTCAAGCCAAGAGAATGGTTCAATATAACAGTGCAATAAACATTTCTTGGACTTTATCACCAGCGATGAGTTTACATACATCATGCATGAACAGTGCAGATGTGGAACTCACTGCAGTAAGATACAATGTACAGCGAGGTGACTATGCTCAAGTCAGTCCTGAAGATGTGAAGTTTTTTCAGAATCTCTTGTCATCAAGGGTTGTTACCGATGAGTTTGAGATAGCAAGATATAATGAAGACTGGCTAAAGATGTGTAGAGGTCAGGAAACCATATATTTATTTATTCTCATACTTAGATGTAGTTGAATATTTGTTTCAAAATTGATGAAAGCTGCTCGGACTGATAATATAATACTGTAGAATACTTAATTTTTGCTTGGAATTGATTTTTGCTATTTTCGCTGAAAGAATGATTCAGTGAAAATAAAATCCAGCGAATATATCCTTTTTCCTATATTTTACATTCAACTTATCAAAAATCAGTGAAAATAAATTCCAAACCAAACGCCCAAAAAGTATATTCAGCGAAAATTAATTCCAGCTAAAATAAAGTATTTTACAGTATATAGAAAAATGGTAGTAGGTAATTGTAGTCTTGGGTAATTATTCAATATACTGTGGATGTATTAACATTTTACTGGGTTTTAATTTGGCTATTTTTGCTAATGAGTGAAATTGTAATCTATGTGATCATGTAAAATAAAACTCATTGTTTGTAAAATTAAAACACAGTGAATATGCTCAAAAAATTAGATTGGTGAAATTAAATTTTGTATGAAAAAGAAATTTTCTCAATTATAGATTTGAATAGAGTGAGAGATTGTAGAAAAATAGAACAAAACGTGTGCAACGACTCATATTCATATCTGTGATTGCGAAAGGGTACTTTGTCTGCAACATCTGGTTATATTAATTAATTACATGTACCAATGACTATGATTACCTACTACCCAGGGGTTTCGTTAAGTGTCAGCCGCCGGCCATATGACCGGCTACAAACCCAAATTGGCTGTCTACTTTCTCCCCCCGACTGCCTAAATCAGCCTCGCTGCAGCACTTTGCACTGTTGAGAGCCTTTTTATTTTTTTGGCATGTTGTTACAGGATGATGACGTGCTATTTAATACATTTGTAAAACCCCTAACTACCATTTTCTATATTTTAATGAATATTTGAAGTTTTTGGTCAATACTATCGGTAACACTAGCGAAGCGAAATGACCACTTGATGTAGTCAT